GCTGAACAGCTAAGTCAGAATGTTTGAGGGGAGGTATCTGAAGAAGTCTGTTAATTGCTGAAAGTCTTGACCAAAGTTTAAAGTCTAATTTATATATATTTTAGTAAGGGTGGTCTTGTGCTCCCATCTGGCTCCCCAAACCATCACATTTAACCTTTTTGTCCCTCGGTGAAATATCTGTAGGATGGAGGCACTTGTCATTGTGGATGAATTTCTGTTTCCCCTTTGTAGCTAGAAAAGCTTTCAAATGCTGGAGGTTTGACAAAATGAGTGTTCTGCTGGTGAACCTGACGAGTGTTGAGCTGTGTTCTTTCCATACAATATTTTGACTGGATGACAAGAGATGCTGTTTTCAAGCCTGGTCTCAGTGTTTGGCTTTGCAGTCTTGTAAAATAGATCTGATTTTACCTATCGATCTGATTTGATCATTATCAGACTTTCTATAATATAGATGTTTGTGTTAAAACATGCATTGCATTAAAAAAGAAAAATATATGTTAATGTGCACCTGTAATCTGCAGTGTATTAAAAAAAGAGCAAGTCCCACAGAAATTTATGGTTGCCTCTGTCCAGAGCCACAGCAAGTGCTGCCTTTGCAGTCTATGTGTTTCTATCCATCTCTACATGGAAGGTTCTGCTGTTCCACAGGGTAAGTTCTTCTGCACTTTGGTGCCTCTGGGTGCTGTAAGAAGCTGCAGCTTTGGCTGCTGTTCTTGCACTAGGTTGTTTTCGCATGTTTCTTAACTGAGGTGGTTTCAGCTGAGACTAAATCCTGATTAATCACTGTTCATGCCAATTATTCCCTTTGCCAAGCATAGGGGGGGAAGGCAGTCACGTGTTTGTAATTGGAAGTGGCAAATAATCCTGTCGTGTTTTAAGGGCAACTTGGTTTATGGAAGTGAAGCAGTCTGGTGGTTAGGGTCACAGAACTGTTTGTCTTGTTTTGGGTGAGCTAAAAGGAGCAGTCATCTGCTGGGGATGAAGTAAGACTGATTTCATCTTGGAAAGGCCTCATTATTGCAAGGGGTGATGTGTCACTGGGACTGTTAGTCTGAGGAATAAGAAGAAAGTGCAGAAAGGTGTTGCCTGGGAATTTTGGCATGTCTGAAGGTTGTGTTTCTGGAATCTGATTGGAAAAGAGTGAAAGAGCTGAAAGAAACTGTCGTGTAAACAGCATTTGCTGCAGTTCCATCATAGACCAAAAGGTAAACCCCAAAAACTCCTTAGCAGCAAAAAACTTTATCTACAGGGCTGGCAAGGACCCCAGGACACTATTAGACCTGTGTCCCTGCTCATGTTTCAGCCATGTCATTGCCTAATTACCTGAGAGGGCTGTGGGACAGAAGACTCCAGTCTGTGTCAGCCTCTGCCTGTCCTTGCTGCTAGCAAGTCTCCTGCCATATTCTCCATCTGTCCCTCTTGCTGCCCATTTATGGTGTCAGGCCACAGGCAACAGGTTATTTTCCTTCTATGCAACAGCCTTTTACACACCTAAAGTTTCTCATTGTTCCTGTTTCAGTCATTGCTCCTTCTCTTTCTTGCTGTTCTCTTCCCATTCCTCACTCTCCAGCCGTGCCCTCACTAATGCTGGGCAGGTCTGGGTGACAGTCCCCATTGGCTTGGATGCTGCACTGGAGTTTATTCCCCAGTGTTGTGATTTTGGTTTCCCTGATATTTTGGGATTTCCATGATATTTTTACCTCTCAGCCTATGCTCCCAGACCTTCTCTTGGACAAACTCTTTGGAAGAACAGCTTTGAAGCTGCTTCCCCCCATTTTTTATTTGTGTAATAAGCAAGAGTTAAATGTGTATCAATTTTTTGTGGTCTAGTCTACTGACTTTCTTCCTTTATTACTGAGACCATTTCTCTGGCTTCTGGTGATACATTTGAGCGATAATCTTGTCCAACTCACTTTAAGGTTGCAGATTTACTAGGCCAAGACTTCTTAGAACTTGAGAAATGTTTCTCTTTCTACAGCAGACCATTGCTGACTGATTTCTGGGCTTTTCATTCATCCTAAGGTTGCTTCATGAATCCAGTTTCTTTGCAAGCTTATGAAAGCCAAGGTATGTATAACCTTTCTGAAGACAGGTCAAAAACTGTCATCCTAAATTGCCCTTATTTAATGATGGGGTGATTGAGGAGTTATCTGCTTTATCCTGGAAGTTCTGACTCTCTCTCAGCCCTGTGTTGTTCCCACAGCCACAGTGTTCTGTATGAGGAAGGTGGGTGCATAGTACCTGCCTAAGCAGCTCAGAGATTCAGGAAGGGGATTGAGGATGACAAAGTCCTCAGAGGCCAGAGGTGTGTTCAAAGCCTAAACGCAGGTTTCAGGTGGCCAGGACCTTTTGTCAGGTGGTTCTTACCTTGCATTGATAAGGTAGTGGCTAGCATGTGTGTCCAGGTGGCTCTGTCACTGTCCTTCTGGGGGTGGGACAAACTCTCCTCATGCTTGTGGAACAACCCTGCTGTGTGCAAACCAGTGAAAACCTGAAGGGGTGGGAAGGAGGGTGAGGGTGTGTGGCTGCAGCCCAGGAGCGAAAGCAGAAGAGGTTTTTTTGCATGTTTGGCTTAATGACAGTTCAATACCAGAACAAGCACAGAAATATATGTATTATTTCAGGAGTGAAGACAGGAACCCAGGACTTCCCTTCCCAGACACTGAGCCTGTCACCAGTTAACCTGCACTTCACCAACAATAATAAACATCTTGGCAGTTGGTCAGTGAGATAGCAGGAAGAGCTGGGATGGCCAAAGGCTTAAACCTCACTAACTCAAATGTAGGTGCTTGTATAACTAATGTGCTTCTAAATCAGGCTCTGATTTTGTTGTCTGGGATTTTAATTAGCCTGAGAAATCTTCTTCAGGGCTTTTATTACAAAAAAAATTGTAGACAGCTAATGTGCTCTTCCCCACTTAGTGCCAGAAATTCAGTGCTCTGGGGTTTGTACTTGTTCCACATATTGCTCAAGTGTAAATGGCTCTGCCAAGTCCTGGTCCTGAGCATTTAATTGGAAATCATTTACAAATTAGTGTAATATGTACTCTGAAATGTGCTAAGAAGATATGTAAGATGTTTCAGAAAATATTGTGAGTTTGGTTTTTGCACCATCACTGTATAGGAGGTGGAGGTGAGAAAACAAGCTCAGAGAAAACCCTCTCTGTAGCTCCCAGTATTTCTCAAGTGCTTTTCTTACTTTGTGTTAGAGTTTGGAGATTGTGCTAGAGATGGGAGTGTTGAAATGGCATTTCTCTGGGGATGCTTTTTGCTGGTGTAATTGAAATTTATTTTTTAAATGGCACTTGGAAGAGATCTGTATTGCCTATCCAGGGGGTTCAGGTTTCTTTAACAGGAGCTAAACAGCAATGACATTTTCTAAAGGTATATGGATGTATCTCCCAAATGCTACTTTAAGCATTTGGCTGCAAAGGCTGAATCTGTGTCTATCATATTCCCTGCACATATTTTATGAAGTAGCTTCTGATGTTTCTTTACATCAGGTATATGAAATGCTTTTCTAGATGAATAGTGACCCTGCACAGAGTGTTGTGCAAACACAAGGAGGTTATCCAAGCACCCAAGAGCCAAGCCAACATTCCTGGGACACCCAGGGCAGCCCTTGGCTTCACTGGGACCTTTGTTTGCAGAAATAATGCCCAATTGTGCTGGGTGCCTGTGCACTTTGGCAAGAGAAGTGTGTGGTTTTTGGCATGAAATCAGGGAATATGTATAGTGGCATAAAAATATTACTCTGTGTACGGATCAATTTAAGATTTAAAGGCACCAAGTGAAACACTGAAAGGTAAAAGCAACACGGTGAACACTGAGGAGATACGACCATGAGCCAGCAATGTGCCCTTCTAGCCAAGAAGGCCAATGGCATCCTGGGGTGCATTAGAAAGGGTGTGGTTAGTAGGTCAAGGGAGGTTCTCCTCCCCCTCTATTCTGCCTTGGTGAGGCTGCATCTGTAATATTGTGTCCAGGTCTGGGCCCCTCAGTTCAAGAAGGACAGGGAACTGGTGGAAAGAGTCCAGTGCAGAGCCATGAAGATGCTTAAGGGAGTGGAACATCTCCCTGATGAGGAAAGGCTGAGGGAGCTGGGTCTCTTGAGCTTGGAGAAGAGGAGACTGAGGGGTGACCTCATCCATGGTTACAAATATGTAAGGGGTGAGTGTCAGGACAGAGCCAGGCTTTTTTCAGTGATGTCCAGTGACAGGACAAGGGGCAGTGGGTGCAAACTGGAGCACAGGAGGCTCCATGCAAACATCAGAAAAACTTTCCTGTGAGAGTGACAGAGCCCTGGGACAGGCTGCCCAGAGAGGTTATGGAGTCTCTTTCTCTGGAGACATTCAAACCCACCTGGACACGTTCCAGGGTGACCCTGCTCTGGCAGGGGGGTTGGACTGGATAATCTTTTGAGGTCCCTTCCAACCCCTAAGATTCTGTGATAGGAAAAGATGTAATGCAGTTTTCTCTCTTTTTTTTTTTTTTCCTCCCTTTCCTGCTGGCAATCTTGGGAACCTTGCTTATGAAGCTGTC